ATTCTTTTATTTTGCTTCAACAGAGTCTGAGAGTTTTTACTCTATAGCAAAACTAATAGTGATAGAGAAATCCATTTGGAATTGGGGAGGGGGTTGGGGAGAGAGAGACACCCACACATAGATATTGATTGAGCAGATGCACAGAGAAAAGCACATGGCCTTGGGGAGAAACAAAGAGTGCAAGTAGTTGCCTTAGCTTCTGTTGGTTTGCAAGTTCTCAATTCCAGTTTCCATGAGGCCTGGCTATACAGCAGCCTACTCAGTTCTTTCCTTCAATACCTATGAAATCTACTCATCTTTAAGATATCCTCTCCACCTCTCACTCTTGGCCCTGGTCCTCTATTTAGTCCAGACAATTGTTTCTTGTAATGCAAACAGCTCCCACTAGAATACTTGTTTAATAATAATTATTGCTGTTATTATTATTGGTAGTTTATTTGGTGTTAGCAACTACTGTGCTTTTAAATTAATCCTTACAGTATTACCATTCACATTTCATAGATGAGGGAAAAAGTTACACTAATTTCCCCAAGGTTGTACAGCTAGTAAGTGATGGAACCAGGATCCAGTGTATACTGTCTTAACGATGATGCCAGTATGCATTTGAGGCTAAAAATTGCCTCTGAATTCAGCTTTGGCTGATTCTTTTACTTTTCAGGATAATGGTGTTCTTATTTTTCTACTTGTTTCTATATGGTGTATAATTGCAGTTTTTTTCCTTTGCCCCAAGAGTTATTTAAGAGGGTATTTTAAAAATGTCAACAGTGTTTTTTTGGTTCCTAATTTTTATTTATATATTTTTTGTGCTTATGTGAGAAAATACGGCCTGTTGCTTTCTGCTTGTTGGAATTTTTTTTTTTTATTTGTGGCCAATTATTTGGTCCATTGTGGCATTTATTTTATTCTGCCTTTTGCTGTACCCTTGTCTCTTCTTTAAAATTGTAAAATATTTGAGGTCAGGGATTATGCATTATTCATCTGTTCACCTCTGTATCGACTATAAGGTAATTGCATAGCAGAGATATTTAAGCAAAGTAGACTGGATAAATGAATATTGATCCTTGTGGATTTGAAGACTGTTGAAAAGGAGCCCTGGTACATCTAGCTCAATTGGCATAACAGTTGATAAAGAAAATGTTCTACATCCTACTTTGGTGAGTAGTATCTAGGGTCTTAAAAGCTTGTGAGCGGCCATCTAAGATACTTCACTGGTCCCACCCTGTCTGGACCAAGGAAGAATGAAGAAAACCAAAGACACAAGGGAAAGATTAGTCCAAAGGACTAATGGACCACAACTACCACAGCCTCCACTAGACTGAGTCCAGCACAACTAGATGGTGCCTAGATACCTCCACCGACTGCTCTGACAGAGATCAAAATAGAGGGTCCTGGAGAGAGCTGGAGAAAAATGTAGAACAAAATTCTAACTAACAAAAAAAGACTAGACTTACTGGTCTGACAGAGACTGGAGAAACCCAGAAAGTATGGCCCCCGGGCACCATTTTAACTCAGTAGTAAAGTCACTCCTGAAGTTCACCCTTCAGCCAAAGATTAGACAGGCCCATAAAACAAAATGAGACTAAACAGGCATACCAGCTCCGGGGCAAGGATGAGGGCAAGGATGAGAAGGCAGGAGAGGACAGGAAAGCCGGTAACCGGGAACCCAAGGTCAAGAAGGGGAGAGTGTTGACATGTTGTGGGGATGGCAAAAATGTCACAAAAACAATATGTGTATTAATCGTTTAATGAGAAACTAATTTGCTCTGTAAACCTTCATCTAAAGTACAATTAAAGAGAAAAAGGAGCCCTTGGCGCAGTGGTTAAGCTCCTAACTGAAAGATTGGTCATTCAAATCCACCTGTTTCCTAACTGGTATTACAACTGCTACCCTGATTCTAATTGCATGATCTTTTTTGCAGTGGTTCGAATCTCTGAGGTTGAGAAGACCTGGTGATGTGCTCTCGTAAAGATTACAGCCTAGGAAACCCTATGGGGGAAGTTCTGCTGTCATAGTGGGTTGTTATGAGTCAGAACTGACTCGATGGCACCCAGCAACAACATACATGTAAAAAAGGCCAAAATAGAGACTACACCATTTTCTTTGCTTTGATGCCTCCACTATGCTCAGAGCAGTGATATCCAGACCGTGGCCTATATTTAGGAAAACTTATAGTTGAATAAGGCACATTTGGAGTTGCATCCTAGCAGGAAAAATCCATGTTTTAAAGACCTTTAGAAACAATATGAAACTTAAAATATAGCTGCATTTGGAAATGACTCTGAAAGCATGTCAAATTTACTTTATTAAAAAAATTTATTATTATTTTTAGCCCATATAACATTTTCATTGGTTAGCAGAGAAGGGAGTTAGAACTAGAAGAATCTTAATAACCATCTAGTCCATCTTTCATTTTATAAATGTGGAAACTGAAGCTCAAAAAGAAAAGACTTTAAGTCATTTGTCCAAGCTTGTTAGTCCATGCTGTAGTCAGGACTAGACTATATGGCCAGTTTTTTAAAGTTCTCTGTGAACTCTCGAAAGGAATGGTGTATAGCTAATAAATGATCCTTATTCATATTCTGGTATTCTTTTTTATATTTTGACTTACTGAGCTATTGAAAATAAAATTAAAGTCTACTAATACCACTGTTTCTGATAACTTCTACTTGGATTTCTCCCATTTCCACCCCACTCCTTTGGACCTCAAATGCACAGATTTGGGTTATTATAATCCTTGGTTTATGATACATTCTCATCATTGGTCCATGAATGGGCTGCTTTGTTTATTATAATGTGTAATAATAAGCACTTATGAAACCATCATCCCAAACAAAAACTGAAACCTTGATAATAACATACATCTAACTTATGGTTCCCTCCCTTCCCATCCATTTCATCTTATTCCATCCAAGGTAAGCATCTGAAACCTGTATTAATCATTCCTTTGCTTCCCTTTTTATATAGTTTTATTAGTCCCATGACTTTCTCTTTTTACTCATCTTTATGAGGGTATAAATACTTGTCCAATGTTGAGGGTATAAACGCTTGTCCAATGTTGACTCGTAATCAAGTGATTGATCTGAGATCCATATGAAATTTTACAGCAATTCCTGGTCAGGATCAAAGGCAGAACAACAGAAGGTTGTAGACTGCCATTTTGGAGGCCCAGTAGGCTGTGTGGGTTGGCAGGGTGCTATCATGGCATTCCTAACTGGACCTTCATCTTGATGTAGATGGATGTAATCCTCAGACATTTTGCTCTGCTGCCACATCCAACACTGGCCACTCACTGGGTGTGGCAGCTCCCATTGGGAGCAAGTTGTGGTTGGGTTATCGTGATTATTGTCCCTTGGAAGGAGGCACAGAGGCAATGATCATGGGCCCCTCAGCTAGCTCTGTCACCCTTTTCCCGGGTAAGAACACCCTTCTGACCTTGTGGAATTTAGAATAGAAACGTTATTTACACAGATGGAAACAATAATAGTAGCAGGGCATTCCCACCAATAAGAGTGGACTGTTTCTTCACAAACCATAAATCTAAAACTAATCCTAACCTGTTTACTAACTTGTATTATAACTCATACCCTGATTCTACCTGCTTGATCTTTTCTGCAGAATTTCTTATAGACCCTACATCCTAATCTATATCCTGACTTCAAATTCTAACCTTTCCATTGTAGTTGAAACTTCACTGACTCTTTCCCCTGAACCTCCGACTTGTTACCACCCTCAATTCTTTTCCTTTCTCCCATTCCCACCAAATTCCAACCAAACACTAGGAATTGCTTTTTGGTTAGCACTTATCACAAGCTAGACACTAGGCTAATTGCTGTTTATACATCATCCCATCTATCTTATCCTACTCTATGAGTAGTAACATTAGTTTCCCTATTTTACAGATGAGAAAACTGAGGTTTGGTGAAATAAATCTGGCCAAGGCCCATATCTCTAGTGAAGCTAGGATTTGATTTTTTTTTTTAAATTTTTTTAGTTATGATGCCTTTCGCTCTAAGAAAAGGAAAACCTGAAGTGGTCTTAACAATAATGAAGTTAAGGTCCGCTCAAGGCAATAAACTATTATGAGCTTATGACTGACTGACCTCATGCCTGTGCCCTCCCTTACACTACCATTTTGGCTTCATAGTCTTTATAGTTACAAAACACATTTGCATACATTTTTTAATCTATGTACCTGTCAGTCATCACTCAGTGATCCCCTCCTCTCTCATCTCTCTTAGCCCTGCCTCCTTCCTCTGGCTCTGCCCCACAGCCCTGGATGCAGTACACATAGCCCCAGTGCATGTGTACAATAGTAGCAGGGTGAGTTTGATGCGTTTGATAAATAAGGCAGTGGGGTTCAGAGATATTAAATGACTTGCCCAAAGTCATGTGGAACTTAGCTTTTCTGACTCCTACAGCGTGAACATTTTGCCACACTGTAGAATGTACCTAGCAAAGCTCGGCATATCTGTTGAATGGATGATTCAGATTATTGTAGGTATTCAATAAATAATTCTTGTTAAATTGTATTATGGAAAATAAACTTAACGTCACTGCTAGAGGTCTCTAGGTTCCTTTTTTTCCTATCACTTGTCCTCCATCTCCTCCTTTCTGGGCTCTGGCCAGTCCTCTCAGAGACCCTCTTCCCAGGAACTCCATCATCCTTGACCAAGACTCACAAAGATCAGACTCCAAGTGTCCTCAGGTGAGGTGCGCAGGCAGGGGCTTAAGAAGGAAGTCTCCAGAAGGAAGTCGTTTGAGAGAGATACAGCTGAATGGACGGACCTAACAGTTTTTGCTCTCCCATCTCACACCTTAGGACTTCCTTAGGTCCTGAAGTGGGGAGGCTGTAGTCCTCAGCCTTTTGGGACTGAGTTTGTCCTGGGGTAGACAGACCAGCAAGCCTCTGCTCTCCAGTTCTGCTAGTTGGGGCTAGTGCCCCCTCCCCTACCTCCCTCCTTAGCCCCGCCTCCTTCCTCTGGCTCTGCCCTACAGCCCTGGACACAGTACACACAGCCCAGAGCCTTGGCTCAAAGGGAAACAAAAGGAACTGCCTGGGTTCCCAGGGCTATGGCCAGCACCTTCATACCGGGACTGAACTCTCAGAACCGTCATTATATCCCGGGGTAAGACTTCTACCCAGAGCACTCCCTGCTTATTCCGGGGAATAAGGGTATAAGGATATAGGAGTTGTACTGCCTAAACCTTGGGGGTCAAGTGGACATACTGGTTTGGGAGGTCCAGGGCTGGAGTATTTATGGTGTTGGATGAAAAATAGCAAGGGAATAGTGATAGCTGGGCCAGCCAGGAAGCTTTGTGTTGTCTTCTCTATGGTAACAGGGTAACAACATAGAGGAAGGATTGAAGGCCCAGGCAGAGAACTTAGAAATGCCTGCTCCAAATACGCACACATCTGAGTCCAGGAAAGCAGAGATCTCTGCTTCTGTCTCTGGTGATGGTGGGGAAAGGGGGGCTCTGGGGATGAGTGGTTGAGTACTGTGCTACAGGTACACTGGACACTGCCCACTACTTCGGTTTAGCATGGGCCAGACCTACGGCCAGGTGACTGGTCAGCTACTTCGAGGCCCTCCTGGTTTAGCCTGGCCACCCACCCACCACACACTTCTGCCTCCCATTCGGCCTCCAAGACCGCCTGAGGTTCCCAGGGGGAGCCTACCTCTCAGGTGTGGGCATGAAAGGCTCAGCATGATCCCTGGATACACAGGTATGTACACAGGCATGAACAGGTGCCGCCATCCCAGAACAGATGTCCTAAATACTAATACGAATCTTCCATGCCCCCTGCTCACCCAGGTTTTGTGCCTCGGGCACAGTTCATCTTTGCCAAGAACAGCAGCCAGGTCTGGGCTGAGGCTCTGAATGATTTTACTCCATGGCATGGGGGGCAACAGAGTCAAGAACTACCAAAGGAGGCCCAGGGAGGAACAGACGCAGAGAAAGACCAAGAGCCAAAGCCAGAGCTAGAGCTGGAGGCAAAGAAGGAGCCAGAGCTAGAGCAGGAGGCAGAACAAGTGAGACCAAGAAGGCTGATGGGGAGTGGGGGTTGCTAGGAGTGGGGGGGCTTTGCCTTTTGTGTTCAGTCCTGGGGGTGGCCATGAGTACTGGAGTACAGGGGATATGGCCTTGCCTGCCAGCTACATCTCCCTGGGAGTTTGTGTTTGATAGCCCTATTTTTCTTCTATCAACTTTCCCTCCCAAGGCTTCTCCCTATTCCATGGATGATAGAGACCCTCGAAAGTTCTTCATGTCAGGTGAGAGGAGGTGGGTAAAGACTAAAGGCATGGGAAAGTCCCCCAGAATGTCTTGACTCAACATCCCCATCCCCCAGGCTTCACTGGTTATGTGCCCCGTGCCCGCTTCCTCTTTGGCTCCAGCTTTCCTGTGCTCACCAACCAGGCACTGCAGGAATTTGGGCAGAAGTACTCAAGGGGCAGAGGTCAGAAGGATCCCAAACATCTCCCCCCACTTTCCAGGACCTACCCTCAGAATCTATGCCTTTTACCTAACTATGGGGGCTATGTGCCAGGTGAGGATAGCCCCTGAGGGAGGCAGCTTTGGGGACTGGGTGTTTGTGTGTGGGTGGTGGTGGTCTGGAATATAATAGATGTGGTTCATCATCAGGCAGAAAAGGAAACTGAGGTGGCTTAAGGTCAGGAGTTAGGGCCATATTTTGGAGGGTAGCTTGGAGGGTCTAGGCAACTGGCTGAGAAATAAATGGCTTTTCCATGCCACTGGCTATACGTGACTGATTCTTTTGGCCACACAGGGTACAAATTCCAGTTTGGCCACACATATGGGCATCTCACTCATGATGCGCTGGGCCTCAGCACCTTCCAGAAGCAGCTCCTGGTGTAGGTACCTGGACTTCAAGTTCTCCCTTTCCTTTGCATTCTATCCTAGCCGTCCTTTTTGGAGGAAGAGAGGTGGGGGGGCGGGGCACAAAGAGAAACTGGTTTGGAGGCCGAGCACCTTTTTTATTAATAGGTGTAATAAATAAATAAATAAATACATAAACAGAAGCCTGGGTTCCTCCTCCCTCTTCTGATGACCAGGGCACTGGCCACAGCCTTTTTACAGCTGGGGGGCTTAGGGATCTGGCCCCAATACTGTTATCCATCCTCATTACCATCTGGCCAAGGGAACCCTGCAAATGGGCCTTCTAGGCTACCTCCCTCCATAGGGACTTGTCTGCACCCATGGAAGGGTTGGCCCAGGTGGTCTGGGGAAATCCTGGCAGCCCAGTGCTGTGTCCCTTCCCTCCTTTCCTGGGTGGAGGTGTGGACAAGGTCACTGGGACAGTTAGGGGGAGTAATTAATACTGAGCACAGGGAGAAGGTGCCAGCACAGGGATATGTGGCCCCTCACTCTCAGTAGCCAAGCCAGATGGGCTTGGGAGGGGCTCTCAGGCTCTTAGTCTGGGGGTTATGAGGGTCCCTGAGGCCATCAGCATGCACAGGGCCTCAGTTTTGGCTGCTTCCAGGGGTTGGACTTGGAGTTGGGGTCAAGGTCACATAGGCCAGAGGCACGAGGCCAGTGTCAGGGCCACGGCTACAGCGCAACCAGTCTCCTCCGGCTGGCCCCAGTACACATAGGATATCTCCCTTGTGGAAGCTCAACTGTCCAGGGCCTGTGGCCAGATGGTGGCACAGTGCCTGCACCTCGCTGGGAAAATAACAAATGGAGGTCAGAGAAACCCTATCTAAAGCCATATCCAGCCCCCCCCCATGCCGCCATATCCCAGGGCTCACCACGGAGGCTTGGAGGGCAGGGCTGCAGAGTGTGGTTCCTGCAGGCTCTCCTTGGGCTCTGGCTCCCGGCGGGCACCCATTGTCTGCACCACTAGTTGGAACATGGACTTGTCCAGGCTCAGCCAGTCTGAGGGCAGCCTAGGGAAGAGCAGCCAGGTCTCTGGCTCTGTCCATGCCCTGGCCTAAATCAGGCTCCTCCACCCCCTCCATCTATTCCATGGGCTAACGCTCACCTGTTTGCAGGTCGGGCCTCCCGCTGAGCTTTTCGGGAACCAAAGAGGTGTCCCCACTTGATGCCCCCAGGTGAAGGCTCTGAGGCTCCTTCCTCATTTTCTGCTGTGGGGGCAGTGGGCCCCTCCCTCTCCCGACTGCGCCTCAGCTCAGCCAGCACAGAGTCAGGGGGGCTCCCCATCCAGAAGGGCCAACCCCTGTCCCGGCCAAGGGCCTCCTCAGGGGCAGGGCAGGCCTCAGCTCCCTCCACGACTCCCTCTCGGGGGGGTGGAGCCTGGAGAGGCCCCCGGCCTCCTGCCCCTTTCTTTTTCTCACTGCTGCTGCTGCTGCTGCTGCTGCCACTGCTGCTGTTGCTGCCACCACGAGGGAACCTAGAACCTTCAGTGGAGCCATCGATGTAGACCTGGGAACTCTGCATCAGCTGGTACCACCAGCCAGCCTGCCCACCTCGGGCCCACCTGCCGTGCCCTGAGGCCCCAGCTGCCTCTGCCACTTCTTCTGTCTCCTCCTCCTCTTCTCCACCTTCTGGGGCACCCACGCCCTTTACCCGCTCCCCATGGGCTGTTCTGTCCATATCTCCAGGGCCCTCCTGGCCCCGGGCCCGGGCCAGCTGTAGTGTTGAGTGGGCGGACAGCAGAAGGTCCTGGGACACCCGCAGCAGTTCCTTGTTCTGCCGCTGCTGCTGCCCACTTTGCAGCAGCCGGTGCTGGAACAGCAAGTCGAGGCTGAAGGGCAGCAGGGCCAGGGGCTGCAGCAGCAGCAGCAGCTCCTCAAAGAGGCCAGGGCACACAGTATGAGCTGCACTCAGGAAGCCCCATGGCTGATAGTGGGTCTGGATGATATCTAGGGGAGAAAGAGAGAGGGACTGATTCACACAGACCAGCACAGTCTGGCCTGGGTGTTCGACCCTGACAGGCATTCTGGGCAGAGCCACTGCACACTGCTGCACAGGCTGTGTACTATGTAACTTAATGTGCACTAGAATGAAAATGATGCCTCCTGAAGTTGTGTAGTGCGTGAACTCCACAACCATAAGTGGCAGCCCTGAGCTCAGAGGAACTGACTTCCAGATTGCCAGAGTATCCTGTTGACTCCAAGGCTCTAACTCAAGCAGGAGCCGGGGAAGGATTTGGGTAGAAGCCCAAAGCTTTGAGGACGAAGCTTGTGTGGTCCCCTCCCTGCCACCTCTAGCATCTGAAAAGAGAGCTATGCCTCCCCCTCTTTTGAACCTCCAAAGTTTGGACTAAACAGAGTTTGCAAAATAGGGCAGGGTTCTGCGCATTACCTTCATGGTTATAGAGGTGATTAAACCAGAACTCCAGGGACCGGATGCTGTAGGGAGACAGGTGAGGAGAGTTGAGTCTTGTGTAGTGTGGATATAGCCAGATAATAAAGTACAAAGGAGACAGATGCAGGGGGTCAGACACAGGGCAGAGGTATAGATGAACACCTCCCTTTTACGGCAAGGATGCTGCATGCTTCATTTCATGTAATATAATTCTAGAAAGTCAATAGGGAGGTGGGTAGGGGGAGGTGGTGAACATGTGATTCACAGACCAAGTACTTCTTCCTAGAATGTAGCTGGCTTGCATAAGACCCAAGAAGTCAGGGCAGCTACTCAGTGAGAACACAGGGCAGCTCAGGGCCAAAGACAATGACCTGGGCCCATACTTGAGAAAGAAGAATACTACGATGTGGATCCCAAGGTGGATTTAGGGTCAAGCAGGATTTGGAAGCAGTACTGGAGTTGAGGATCAGAGTTTACAATATCCACAGAAACTGAGAAACCAGATTCATTTCCAAATAAGCCAGATTATGGGTTTGTAAAAGCAGAAGACCGTGTTGGTGATCAGTGCTGAAGGGCTGTGGGGGCAGTGGGAAATCAGTGATCTACTGAGAGTGCAGCTAGGTGGGGAGTAAGTGAGCCTGAGCTCTGGCCACAGACCCTGCAGATCTATCATTGCTGTCTCAGTCCAGGGAGGTGGTTCCCCAGAGGAGGTAGAGCCCAGGGTAGAGGGCTGGCTGTTTGTAGAAGATCTTGCTGATTCACACACTCACTTGAGCAGGCCGAGGATGAAGGCATTGAAGCGCATGGTATGACTGGTGAGCTCTGGGAACTGGCTGACTTTGTTGCAGAGGCCGTGTAGGACCTTGGTGGATGGGCCTGAGGGGAAGCCAGGGTTGGAGGTCACATGACCAATCTCTGGAACCCTAAAATTCAGCCCAGAATCCCCATCTTGTCATCCAGCACTCACCTAGCTGTGTGGAAGCCTCAACCACACTCCACGGCATGTTCTTACGCTGCCCGATGATGACGTCTAGCACAAAGGCCTTGAGCCCATCCTCTAGCACAGCCCGGACCGCAGGGCACAAGTACTTCAGAACCAGGTGGCCTACATTGGGGCTCACAGAACTGTTCCCAAGCTTTGCCTGTGGATGCAGATAGCGAAGTGCAAGAAATCATGTGAAGCCTGATTTTGGTCCTCTCTGACTCTGTTAGCCCTCATGGATCCCCTCTTGCCATCCCCATCACTAAGTACCCCACTCTGGGCTCCAAGTACAAGACAGCAAGGGAGGATGGTAGCACAGAACGGGTGAGGATCTGCAGGGTAGGACTCAGCTCTCCATATTTCTTGCCTACCTTCACCCCAGGATCCCGGCTTGTCCCAAAATGGGCAACAATGAGGTCCACAGCAGTGTTAACAGCTTTTACCAGTCCTACAAGCAAGAATTTGATGTCAGGTTTCCGAGCATGTCCCTAGCCAACTCAGCTGGGGCTGAAGCCTCACTGGGGAGGGGAAGGGTTTTCACACTTACTCTCTGTACCTGCACATGGGTCTCATCGAGACATCCAGACCCCCGTCCTTTGTCTAGTTTTCAAGCCCCTCCTGTCCTCATCTCCCAGCCTGGACCCACCTCAGTGATACCCTTGTCAAGACCCTCAACTTCCTCATTTCCTTGCCCTCTTATTCCAATCCTGGATCAATCCAACTACCAGTCTTCTCCACTGTGGGAAACCAGGCCACTAACTGCTGCTGGAGAAAATTCAGGGTCACTCACACCAGTGCAGACAAGGGCAAGTCTTTGATATGTGCCTTGTCAGCATCCTCTCTTATGCCCTCAGTTGCCATGCCAAACCTTTACTCCTCCTCTCAAGCCCGTGGTTCTACCACCTCCCTCCTCATTCTTCATAGATTATTTTACCTTTTCCTTTACACAGAGAACAGAGGCTACCCATCAAGAATTCCTTCAATTTCCCTATCTGTCCTAAAAACATATGTATGTTATATCCATCCTCCTCCCCTCCTTCCTTCCTGCCTTCTCTCACTTTCTTCTCATCTTGGAGGAAGATGGGTGTTCCTTTTCCTGCCCAAAGTTCTTCCCTGTCTCTAAGCTTTGGAGTTCCCTTCTGCCTCTGCAAGGAACTTCAGCTTCATCTTCTGACCTTTCATGGGCTCCTTCCCTTTAGCCACAATTATGCTCAATTCTTTTGCCATTATCTCACTGAAACTACTCCTTCTTAGTTCAACGGTAGCTTATTTGCTAAACAGAGTGGTTCCTTGTCAGTCCTCATTTTACCAGACGTTATCATCACATTTACCCAAGTCACTAGGTCCTCTAGCACCTTATTAGAGCACTTAGGCATTTATTTGATACAAAGCAGTCTCTCTTATTATATTTAGCTCACTGACAGAGAGGTAAGGAGAACGGATTGAGACCTGATTCTTAAGCATCTGATAAATGACCCTTGCTCATTATACATACAATACTCAGTAGAAAGATTTCTACCTTTTACCTCAATGTCTAAACTCTTCAACTCCTTCCCAACACCTTGTAGGGCTAGATAGTAAGGCCACTGGTGCGAACAGGTAGTGAGAGCAGAATCCCTGGCCTAAGCTGGGACTACATTCACCTTTTTTCTGAAGCAGGTCAATGGAAATGGCCTCTGAGTTACCATCTGGGGACAGACAAAACTCAGCTGGAGGTTTCTCAGTCAAGGAAAAGGGGTCTTGGAAGTCAGGGCAGGTCAGTGGTAATG